TTCTGCATATTGAACTGTGTTCCAATCTGAACGTCATCGGCTCTGCCTCAGAAAGGTTTGAACTGTAATGCTAATCTTACGGATGAGACTTTTCATAATCCAGGATCTTCTCCTTCTGCTATAGATTTTTGCTCTTGAACCTGCACTTTAATTTTGCCCCAGATGCATCCTGTATATCTCTATGCTTTTACCTTTAATTCTTTCCTATGTGAATGGAAGAACCTATAGTATGATGAGCTAGGAGCACCCCATCACACAGTACTACTGTCTTTGTTAGATGTTGTCCTTGTAAAATCTGTCAGTGGGTCACTGTACCTGTTTAGGCTCTAACTTGCTCAGCTGACAGTTTCTCACTTACTAATGAACTTCTCCCTTGAACTTCTATTTTAAAAAATTTATTTATATTAAATGAAAGAATTATAGAGAGAACAAAAGAGAGCAAAGGAGAGCGGGATCTTCCATCCACTGGCTTACTACCCCAGATGGCCACCAGCCAGAGATGAGTTCTGAAGCAGGGATCTAGAAACCTCTTCCTGGTCTCCCACTTGTGTGCAGGAGCTCATTACACCATCATCGAATAAACAGTGGCCATTTCCAAGGAGCTGGATCAGAAGTGGAGCAGCTGAGACATGAACCAGTGTCCATTGATAATCTGTCTGCTTGTTATTTTCAAGGTTCACTGTCAAATCGAAGCAGTGTCAGTGACAAAATGTTCCTCTGATTGAACCCCCTGCCATGTTCACAGCTCACCCCTGTGTCAATAATCAAAGTATTGTGTTATCAACACAATTAATCACACAGTGATATCATGAAACCGGCCAATGGGAAATTCCAGCTCTATTAAGTTTGAGTTGATTCATGAGCAAGTCCGTGACAAAGTGACTCTTTGCCAAGTTATCAAAACCCAAAAGTATCACGGCAGAAAATAAAGAACTGCTGTTTAAAAACTCAATTACTCAACATACACTTTCTCACTATTCATCAACATCAGACTACTACTGATGAGTATCTCCAAAAGGTAAATGGACCTATTGTAGGGACAACTTATAGTTCAAGAATCTCATGAATGAACCTGGTGCCCTTGTCCTTACTCAGTTTTCCCTGGTACAGACATCTGAGGGCCACACCATCTCTACAGCCATAGAATAGATTTCCTCTGGGTATTTGCAAGTGCCCCTTTATATAACTTATACCTAAATAGTCATTTCTTCTAGAAGCTCCAAGGATGGCCAGCAACTACCAGTAAATACCTTCATTCCATAAATTGTGTGTCGCTGGAGGACATGACCAAAGGCTACCTTGAGCTTTAAATCATTGTTTCATGTACAAAGGGATAGGGAGAAAGGAGAAAGGATAATAGACTCTTTTCAAGACAGCGCATATGCAGAGAAAATAGAAGAATGAAAAGAAATCTACGTATCTTAATGACGCTGTACCAACACTTCTCTTCATCTGAGTGAGACACTTTGTGAGACTTTGTGCACACCTCTGCACTCTAGACCTGAACCGAGGGGCTTTGATCTGAGTTTCAGAAAGGCCTTTCTGGGTTTGACACATCAGGTCTCAGGCTATTGATCCCCGTGTACTCATTTCAGCTCCTCAAATCCATCCATTTCTGGCTATAATCATCATGTCTCTGCGAAGATCAAATCTTTCTCCTGGATTCCAGGACTCCATTTCTAATGGCCTCTCAGTAGCAACTAAAACAAAATGTGTATCAAAAGAATTTATCAAGTTTAGACCAGCTTTTCTACTCATTGTGTCTTTTTGTATCACTGAGTTCACTTTTCCATTAAGCTCTGGAATTCTTCTTTAACTCCATCTTGTTTTGGTGTCTCTAATCATCCCTTGGGTTGTCCAGTTCTATCTGGTCAATATCAATATAACTCCTAAGCCTTATATCACTGCTCCACTTTGGGTCATCAACCCTTCTTTCTTAGGATGGTACAGTTGTATTTTACACTATGGATACTGTGTATTAGCTACTGTCCTACCCGTTGTTAAAATATTCCCATCATCCCTTTTTTTTAAAAAATTAATTATTTTTCATTGGAAAGGCAGATATATATATAGAGAGAAATACAGAAAGATTTTCTGTCTGGTGGTCATTCCCTAATAGGCCACAACAGCCAGAGCTCAGCCAATCTGAAGCCAGTAGCTAGGAGATTCTTCTGGGTTTCCTCTATCTAACAGAAGCCCTGTACCCTGACCCCCACATAACAAAGTGGTATAGTTTACAGTTTACATTTATAAACGTAGTGGTCTGTCTGAGAACAGAGACTGAGTTCTCTGCATTCTGTTAGCTCACCCTGTGCAATGATTTGGTGTGATTTGATGACAGGAAAGGAAGGAGAGGGTGTTCTTTCAAAAACACAGGGAAAGCGTGGCCCTACTTAACCTGGGCTAGACAAAGTGGGGATGCCATAAAAGCTGATTACTAGGGAAGGCTGTGCTTACCATTCCTTTCTTCTTCTCTTTTTCCTCCAGAATACTGTTGGTGACTTAGAATTTTTTACACTGGCAAAAACTTGACTCAACAGTCAGGATGCAGGAAATATGTCCTCATATTCTTTGGTCATCCTTTTTCCTCTTTTTTATTTAATTATATCAGAGGTTTGCATCTATTAAAGTAAGGTTCTGGGTCACTCATTGGGTTTGGTTCATGTTCAGTATGCAAGCCAGTTTTATAGAGCAACAAAATCAGATGGCAGCAGATATTTCACTCTGAATCCTGAACAGCAGGGGACAACTACTTTCATTGACATTGTTCAAAAGTCTAATTCCCACTTTTGTTCTGATGATTATATTTTAGAGAGTCTTGTGAGGTTTGTTCTCTGAGGTGGCCAAGTCATATGCATGTCATAACAAGAATAAAATAACAAAATGTGTCTCTCCAGAGATCTCAAGTTTCCCAAGGCACTGAAAATGTTTCCAAATAGTCTCATAAAATTATTATTGTAAAAAAAATTTACTTAATGTTGGATTAGAAAAAAAGAAAATTTTGAAAGTGACAGGTTTTGAATTATAAATGCTAAAATTTATTTAAAAGGTAATTCAACCCATTTATTAGAAGAATAATAACGGGTTGTAAAGAAGAAAGCCTTATGTAAGAATGTGGGTAGTTTAAGAAGCCTATTGACTTACTTTCTCTTCACATTGGATTTATTGGAATGTCTACTGGACCTAACCAGAGGAGATTAATCAGTTTTTGCTTGGTTACAACTTTCTGAGGGAGTGGATGTTCAGAGCAGAGGTTAAAACACTGCTTGGGATGTTTGCTTTCCATATCAGAATGCCCAGAATCTGTTCCCAGCTTTGCTCTTGATTCTAGCATCCGCTTAATGCGTGCCTGAGAGCCAGCAAAGGATAGCTTAAGTTACATAATTAGGTTTCTGCCAACCAGGTGGGAAACCACAATTCAGTTCTGGGTTCTTCACTGTGGGTTAGGCCAGCCCTGGTTATTGCAAGCATTTGAAGGCTCTCTCTTCTTCTCTCCCTCCCTTTCAAGTAAATATATAGATAGCAAGTTTCTAAAAAAGCAAGTTTCTAAAACGTTTAGCTTTAGTTTCAGTTTCAGTTTGCTTGTGTTTTATTAGTGGCAGGCCAGTGGCTTCTGGTGAAGATAAAGATTTGTGAATCAGATCATTTGATATGATTAAGCACATTCCTGTTTCATTCCACAGGTACCAGTACTAGGTCAGATGTGAAACTCCCTTTTGATCCCTATCACTGGCTACACAGCTTTTGATCCTCTGACTGGCTACATAATTTAGCTTCCTGGTACCCTATGCCTTCATTGTTAAGTAGGGATCAATGAGTCTACTGTGAGGATTAGACACAACATGACATGTAAAATATGTATTATTCTCTTGGCACCAAATCCTGCAGAGACAAGAGCTTCCTATAAATAGTTTACATGATGACATGGTTATTACCTCGGTTGTTTTTCATTTGTGAAAATGCAGGAATATGATTCTGAAGTAGTCCTTTAGCTTCCAGTCCAGTAATCACTACATAGAATGGTGGATGCAAGTAAGCACTGTGGTAACAATGGGAAAGTCTGACATGCAATCTGAAATTTGGCTCCAATTTTGGATATGCATGCAGGACTCACCATATGCTGAACACTATTAAGCTTCTGTTGTTCATTAATTGATCCAAGTCATCATGATGGTCCAAAGAATAGGTGATTTTTTTTTTAAAGATTCATCCATTTTTATTGCAAAATCAGATATATAGAGAGGAGGAGAGACAGACAGAGTGACCACAACGGCCAGTACTGTGCCAATCCGAAGCCGGGAGTCAGGAGCTCTTCTGGGTCTCCCACGCGGGCGCAGGGTCCCCAGGATTTGGACCGTCCTTGACTGCTTTCCCAGGCTTTAAGCAGGGAGCTGGATGAGAAGCGGGGTCTCTGAGATTAGAACCAGCGCCCATATGGGATCCTGGCATGTTCAAGAAGAGGACCCTAGCCGTTAGGCCACTGTGTCCGGCCCAAGAGTAAGTGATATTACTACTTCTTTTTCACTGACAGGAAAAATGATGCAAAGAAATGACAAAACATTTAGCAACTTGCTGCTGACATTCATTGGGAGAGCTTTGGGACTAGGATTTGAATGCAGACAATGCCAAGCTCGTGCTTCTTAGCCTTTTTTGCTTTCTATGGTCATTTCACAGGTTCACTATAACAATGCAATGTAATAATAAATCCAACTTCACTGGGCTTGCGAACATTTACCTAAGTGTGAAAGATGACTGTTATTAAGTTGTAATTAAGGTGCATCACTATCCTGATGAAACAAAGTACTGTGAAGTGACACCATTGAAGCTGTGAAATTCTTAGCGCCTTTAGTTCTGATATCAATAAGATACACTTTTCCAGGGAGCCACAATACGTATTACCTGAAAAAGAAATTGAAAATAATTTCTCATCTATGGAAAATATTATTTGAACACTTGAAATCCTTTACTCTGTCAGTTACAGGTCATTTTTTTTTTTCTAGGATGTATAAGGAAGCTGTTCTCATGAGTTCAGAAATGGCTTAGCAGCACAAGATTCAGTGGACGTGCCAGGGTATGTCCTATCTTTTTATTGATACATTCACATGTTGGGGAAAATTTATTTTGCCTCATGGGTCAGTGTATTCACCTAATGATTCTTAGGAAGGAAAAAAGCAATACTCAGTGATCTTTGCTTTTTCATTGCTAAACAAAATTTTAGTCTAAATGGAAGCATGTTGTTATTCTGTAGTCAGCACTTGATAGACACATATGCATAATTGGTATTCAGTAAACATTTTGGATTTAAAAGCTTAACCTTGTATAAATAGTTCCTACTTCATTAGACAGGCTCAAGTTGCATTTCTGATTAAGTGTCTAATAGGCAATTGGGGAAAATAAAGCAACTCTAGATGTTGGTATCATTAAACATGGTAAAATTATGCTCTAAAACCAATAGGCTTTATCAGCATGCTCATGTTTTTAAGATTATATAAAAATTATCTTTGTTGGGCTTGAAATTGCTTCTAAGTAAATATTAAACTTGAATAATTGTTTTCTTGCTGCTTAGAATTTGTAAAGGCAGTGGGACTTGCTATGTACAGAAAATTTTCTTCAAGTTAGGAATTTTAATGGGGATAGAAATAGAGAGGAAAGGAGAGAGAAAGCAGAAGCTTTAAAAATGTTGAAAATAAAGTTTTCTCTATATATTATTGGAAAATATTGTTGTATCAACCAAAGATATTGATAAAAACATTAACAACCTTAGAGTGATGTTATACTTGGGAATATTGCTTTAGAAATGATTTTATAAGAGTTCATGAAAATCTTACAAAAGATGTTATGCATGAAGATTTGAATGATTGCTTATTTAAGTCTGCTTATTTTCTATTATTTTAGTACACTATTTATGTTTATAGAATTTCTAGGATGTATTTTATTCATACATTTCAAGGTTACCTGAAATAAGTTTGTTAACAAAAAACTCAGTACCCAAATCACTGAATCGTGTATTCATCATAATTATAACTGGTATACATATAGTTACAATATAATTGTACAACACCTATTTTAGAACGCCAACATAAAGTTTACTTCATGTTAAATATATTTTTTGATTAAATGTGTTTAAATGATTGATATTAATGAAATATTCGTTAACTATCTTGCTTTTATGGGTTTGTGAAATGTTTTCTTTACAGCTTTCTTGGAATATTCCAATCAGGTGAATTTGGTCACCATCTAGTAACAATTGCCGGTCAAATGTTCATGAATCATGCCTTGTCTCTTTTCTGTGAACCCATTGCTATGGGACTGCAGCAAAATAATCAGCAGTTGAGGCAGAATGCAAGTCAATTATGCTAGTCTATTATGCTAGTAAACTGATAATTCTCTTAAAATAGCATAGCTTTCTCAGCAAAGGATGCATTATGCACATTTATGTTCTAGAGCAAATTCCTTAATTTCTTGAGAATAAGTAGCTGTTTATAGACAACCTCACTGAATCTCACTGGCTGCATTATTAAGTACAAAACAGTCCACAATAAGATGCTGAAAGTGTTGCATTCTGGAGGCAAGCAGAGCTGGATTTGAATCCTGGCATAGCAAATCAGTAGTGAAGGGGCCTCTTCCAGAGGCAGCAGGTGTAACAGAGCGAACAGGATAGAGGAAAGGGCCTAGCCTTTGACGTCAGAACTTCTGGAGATGAACACTGGTTCTTCTGTTTAGAGGATGCTTACCTTCGGGCAAATGAGGTTTTAAATGAAAAAAAAAAATAGTCATTCTTACACACACACATACAGACACTGGATTAGGGCTTGATGCAGAGAAGCTACTTTTGTTTATCAGTCATTGCTAACTGTGTGATGTAGTAAACGGATTTTTATGTGGAAATGTTCCTTAATCTGTAATCTAGTAATCTAAATGCTTTAGGCAATTGATACCATATCACTCTCCACCAACAACCTAACCAGACTTACCAAATCATTAATAAATAAGGAAACTCCCTCCCCGCTGCCAAAAAGTTCTGACATACCTAACATACTTCTAGTATTATAGCAGCGTTGGTTAAGCAGGGTAAATCCAGTTAATCCCAGCATGACTCACGACGTGTCTATGTAGCCACTGCTATTTTCGTAGCATTTAATCACTTGGTTGGCATAGTTTCAAGCACAGATATGTACAAATATAATCTGAATGGAAAGACAAACATTAATTTGTGGTTCTTTCATGTCTTTCTGTCTGACTTCTCATACATAAACCGGGCTGTGACAGGTGAAAGAAAATACTCTTTACACTCCGTTCCCAAGACCTAATTTTTGAAAATTTGTGAAATAATGCTTGATGGTCAAGCTCAGCATATAGCTTCACATTAAGTATGTGTTTAAAAGGTGCAAGAAAAAAAAATAACGACTAGATTGAGTCATGTACACACAGACATCCTCACCACCCATGTGAACATGATTTGTACATACTGTAGTCACACATTGTGTGTTATTTACAGCCTGTGTTGCAAGCACAAGTATGTGTTTGCTGCTGTGGTTGAATCCACTCAAATTTATTTGTTTTCTTTTCGTATTTCTTCTTCTAACTGCGGTGCCTCCAAAACAGTCTCTCTCCGATCTATCTTCCCTTAGCTGCTGGAAGGAATTTTCAACACTACCTATCTGGTCTTATCACTTCTCCTTAGAATCCTTCAGTGATCACCCCTTGCTCTTGGGACAAAATCAAATCCCATAGCACAGTCTGGTCCCTGTTTATTTCCCAATTCTTATCTTAGTGTATAGTATATATTTAGTGTAACTGAACTTCAATATTTGCAGCTCCTTTCCTGTTTTAAGTGTACCTCACATCGTGTTCCTCCCCCAATCACAAAGGTTGTCCTCTTTTTCTACATGTTACTGGACAAATTGTTAGCTACTTAGTTACCCAATATCAGAGGACTTCCCATTTGGCCTCCTCAATCTAGCATTACCTATGCTATTAGCTCTTTCTGATCAGAAGATTTGTAAAATCTGTGACAAAATGATCTGTATTCAATTCTGAACTTGGCATTAAACTGTGAGATCCCTGAGGGCACACGGCATTTTCCTTTCTGACTTTCTAATTTCCAGGCCTACAACAAGCAGCACACAGCAGATGTGCAATCAGTGAGATTAGCAGATACTCAAAGTGCTGAGCCTAAATTGAACAACTGCCTACCTGAAAAGGAGCAAAGCAATGTGTAAGCTATTCCCTCTGTGGAGCCCTTAGCTTTGAAAGTAATTTCTTATTCATGGCCAGCTCTCAGTCATCTACAATCCCAGTGGTTCAGTAGTCAAGAAGCAGAGTGATACAGGCTAATTACCAACTCAGGGCATTTCAACTGCTGTGTTCTTACCTTGCACCTTAAATGGTATTCAGGCCAACTGGCCGCATTGTTTTCTAGCAGGAAGTACATATACATTATATAAATGTATAAATACTTTGTACATAAATACTTTGTATTACTATGCAGCATTAAAAAATTGTATTCTTTTTTAAAGGTCATATAATAAAAATAGTGATCCAGTTTTCAGGCATTTAAAGTTATCTATTTTAAATGTTGACTATGCCAGTGTTTCCAAGGCACAGCTTGACTTTACACCTGTCCTGTGTAGTTCATTGAGTTGTGCCATTGGCTGACAACAGCAGAGACCACGCATGACACTGCTGGAGATGATCTGTGTTGCGCTTTGACAGTCAGGGGCAGCAGGACCATAAATAAACAGAAACTGCTGGGGTTAGGATTCCAGAAGAGAAAAGAGGAAGGGACAATCCTGCGTGTTGCAGACAGTCAAAAAATGGAAATTGTGAGAAACTCAGCGTTCTGTGATGGCAAAAATCAGTGGTTAAGTAGACATGAGTGCTCGGCCAACTGGGGGCCACTGTGTGGCCTTTGAGTGTGCTCCTGGGTTGGCTGGCCCTCTTGCATCATTTGGACAGTCTGTAACCTTAAAGATCAGACATGTAGACTAGAGTCAGACTGATCTGTAAAGAGACATGAAAGCATTTTCCAGATGAAAAAATGAAATCAACTATTTGAGTCCTTCTCTTTTTTCTTCTGTAATTGTAGGGTCTCATATGTGTCCGCTACCCACACTCCTCATCTCTGCTTGTGCAGGGCCAAATTTGAATTACATCTTCCTTTCGGTGCTTCAGAGCATAAGGACAAGCATACCATATGTCAGAGACTAAGTTTGCTATTTTCTAGACCATATTAGGAGAAATTTTTGATTTTGTGTTCTGTATATTCAGCTTCTCAAAATAAATGGCCTCTCCCTCCCTGGCAAATCCTGTTTCTAGTTTTCTCATCTGCTGCCCCCTTTACTTTCTGAAGCCCGCAAGGAAGAAAGAAACTCTGTATAAACTGAAGAAGAGATTTCTCTTAAGGAAATTTGCACAGAGATTATAGATAAAGAAATGCAAACAGCGATATTGCTCTAACACAGAAACTCAGACTCCCCTGGACAATGGTTGAGCATTTGAAGGTGAGCTGCTTGCCGACTACTCATTAATCCTGAGTCACAAACACCATCTGTCCTGGGAAAGCCTGGTAGAAGTCTCTTCTGGCTGTCCACTGGTTTTCCCATCTCTGGCTCAGATGTGATGATTAATTACATGTTTTAGACTATCTGTGAGGACAGAAGATATGTATTCTTTTGTCAGAAATTGAAGGGTTGAGGATTTCGGGGGTCAGGTTGCAAGGAACTCCTGTTCTCTGGGTTGGTCCTTCCTTAATGGGGAGGAAGAGCCAGCGCTTCCAGAGCTTCCCTTCCCTGGGCAACCTTCCTGGGCTGCAGACACTGGCTTCTTGAAGAAAAGCAAAGCTTAAGTTAAAAAAAAAAAAAAGATAGGAAGGCCCTCTAGGGTGTCAAGTACAAAACAGAACCAAAGAAACTGATGTGAGCTCTGTAGTCAGTTTGTTGTTTCTTTGAACCCTGCCAAGAGGAAGACAAGATCTGTGTATGACAGCATGGGTGGGTCATCTTCCAGTTAGTGCTGGGAATGTCTGAGTTCCAATGCTGAGGGGCCACAGTAAACTCAGGCCTCATGCCGTACACAGATAAGAGAAGCTGCAACAGCTTTGTGGCACGCTTATTGTACCATTGCCAGTGAAGTATCTGTGAAGGACCTCTGTCATTGGGGAAGTTTTCCTTAAAAATTTCCTCTTCTTCTTTTTTTTTTTTTTTTGTTTTTGTTTTTTGAAAGACAGAATTAGACAGAGGGAGGGGAAAGGGAAAGAGAGAGAGATCTTACATCCATTGGTTAAAATTGCCGCAATAGCCAGGGTTAGGCTGGACCAAAGCCAGGAACCTTGAGTTCCATTTGGTTCTCCCACATGGGAGGCAAGGATCTGAGCACTGGGGGTATCTACTGCTGCCTTTCCAGGTCATTGGTAGCAGATTGGATTAGATGTGCAGCAGCCAGGACGCAAACCAGTGCTCCAGTGGGACGCTGGCATTACAGGGCAGTGAATGGATGTGCTCTGTCCTGGGAAAGTGTTGCTAAGGTGCCTGCTGCTGAAACCAAACCCTTCAGGAATGGGGACATGGAGCTGTGTTTTTCAAAACCTGCCCCCAAAAGTGTAGAGCACTCAGCTCCCAAATCTCTATCCATAGACTACAAAGTGTTACAGTTTTAGTCCCATAAAACTAACTGCTCTAATTACCAAGGAAGACAGCAGGACTGGGGTCTAAAGCTCTGAGAGTATGTTTATCCACTTCCCCTTAAAATATCAGTTTGTAGAACTTTGAGACATATGAGCTCTGTTACCTTGAAACCTTTTTTAGTTTTGTTGCACTAAGTACAAAAAAAATTTTAAAAAGTTTTTATGCACCTGCTTAATAAACAATTAGCAGCTCTAAACTTGATCCAGAGCTAGAAGCGTCACACAGCTCAAACAACGAATGGACTGGATTCTCAGACACCAATCACATTTCACACTGGTCTCTGTATTAACAAAGCTGATCATTGGTTATTTATCTACCATTTTCATTCAATAGGAATTATCCTTTGAATCTGTTGATCATACGAACACTGTTTTAAAAAAGGGCAATATCAAATAATGGGTAATAAATTAACATTCTGTTGAAATATGGGCTATTGGTTAAATATATATATATATATTTATTTATTTATATTGGAAAGTCAGATATACAGAGAGGAGGAGAGACAGAATGGAAGATCTTCCATCCGATGATTCACTCCCCTAGTGGCTGGAATGGCCAGAGCTGTGCCAATCCAAAGCCAAGAGCTTCTTCCAGTCTCCTGCGCTGGTGCAGGGTCCCAATGCTTTGGGTTGTCCTCCACTGCTTTCCCAGGCCAAAAGCAGGGAGCTGGTTGGGAAGCGGGGCTGCTGGGATTAGAACCGGGGACCCTATGGAATCCCAGAGCATGCGAGGCGAGGACTTTAGCCGCTAGGCTACCGCCCTGGGCCCTAAATGAATTTTTTTTTTGAAGGGGGGAGAGATGGAGATGAAGATAGAGATAGTGGCAGGAGGAATCCCTTAAATATCATGGTTTTTTACATGGCAGGGATCCAAGTACCTGAGCCATTGTCAGCTGAGCCCCTAATGTACATGTTAGCAGGGAGCCGAAATTGGGAATGGTAGTAGGAGTTAAACGAACACATTCTGCTAAGGTAGGTGGGTGTTCTAAGCAGCATCCTGTCTTTCTTCACCAAATAACCACAGTTATGGATTTTTTTTGTTACTTAAATTTTTGTGTTTTTTTTAAAGATGTATATATATATGTATATATATGTATATATACATATATATGTATATATATGTATATATATATGTATATATATATAACAAGAATCACAAGCAACAAGAAAGTTACAGTGAGCCTTTAAAACTGAATATCTACTCTGAATCAACTCAGCTTGAAAATTTTCATTCACAAAGTCACATATAACTTAGGAACTGCACATTTTCTCTTTTGTTAAGTCAAGAAAATGAATTAATTATAAGGAACCAATCATTAAACCTTTATTAGCTAATTTCAGTGACTGAACTCTGTGCACTAGCACGTATTCTACAAGTCGGGAAAGAAGGCTGCCTTCTCTGCTGGAGTATGATTTCAAAATGTGATTTTTCCATAGCAATGAAAATGTTTATAATGAACCTTATAGACTAAAGGAGAAAATTGAATAAAATCATCTGACATGACTGGATTCAACTAAGGACCATTGTCTCCATAAGCCTGATTCTTACTGTTTAAGGCACTAATTACTATTTTTTTTAAGTCAGAGACTCATTCGAGAGAATGCCAACTCACTTCTTCATTGACTTCATTAATCCAATCAGGAAGACCCTGCCCTGGGAACCCAATCATTTCTTAGATTTACTTATTTTATTATTGGAAAGTCAGGTTTACACAGAGAAGGAGAGACAGAAAGATCTGCTTACTGGTCCATTTCCCAAGTGGCTGTGACAGCCAGAGCTGAGCCAATCCGAAGGCAGGAGCCAGGAGCTTCCTTCGGGTCTCCCATGCGGGTGCAGGGTCCCAAGGCCTAGCACCATCCTGGACTGCTTTCTCAGGCCACAGGCAGGGAGCTGGATGGGACGTGGATCAGCCAGGACATGAACTGGAGCCCGTATGGGATCCAGGTACATGCACGGGAAGAACTTAGCTACTAGGCCACTGGGCCCGACCCAACCATTTCTAAATGTCCTTCTTTTCAATGCTGTTGAATCAAGCATGGCTTTAAGAGAGATATTTAAACCTTAACAAAAGGCAAAACTGAATATTAATAGGCAAGTGAGAGGTACACAGGTCATTTAGAATTTCAGGGTGAAAATGTGTTCTTTGTGTATTCTCGCTTTTTGTATTCAATCCCATGAAAAGGGAATCTTCTTCTTGGGGGAGGTAATGACAGGTTTATCTCTCTTCACTGTACTTATCCCATGGGAGAATAGGTTTATTTTGTTAGTGGGATGGGGAGAAGCAGCCTGGCAAATATGACTTAGGCCACTCTGAAGCGTTTTTCCTAAGTTCTTATCTCTGAGATGTGCTTAGGTGTCTATTGCATAGATACAGCTTAGTCCTGTTGGAACTGGAACGTTCTTTTGACCATAGGTCCATCCTGTGTTCTTTTTCGCCAATGAACCAAATCCTTAATAATAGAAATGATCCTTAAAAATCTCTCTCTGGGTCACCTTGTCTCTCTTTCTGGTTCAGAGATGAGGATTAAATTATTTGATTCCTTACCCCATCCTGCCCTCTGCCCTCATGACAGAATCCAACATGACTGAGTTCTGGAAATTCCAGCTTTGTGTCCTCATCCCCTCAGTCCAGCCTTTTCGTGAACAAGACATTTCTGGCCCAGTGGGGTATCTTTAGATCACTGGTAGAATGCAGTTGATCAAAAGGCAGTTCCAATGAGAGAGCTGTTATAAAGGTCTGGGTTGAGCCCAAGCTCACCATGAGACAGTTGGCCTGTACAGCATGGTCAAGGTGTCCAAAAATGGTGACCTGGGCAAGGACAATGTTCGCAGTGACACAAAGTAGGATTCCACATACATCTTTGAGGTAAAGCAAAAAAATTTTGAATGTGGAAATGAAGAGTATGGAGCTGTAAAGAGCGATATCAAAATTCTAACAGGAGTATGATGAATGGAGAATTCATTTACTGAGATGGAAAGCTGTCCTTAGCATTCTGTGTTGTTTTGTTTATTTTGTCTTATAGAAGCTCTAAAATTGAGAAATTGTCACCTGAATTATTAAATAATATGAATATATCTCAATATCTTATATTCTCCCAGGAAGCTCACACAACTTATTAAAAACCAAATTTATTCAAACAAATTTTAGTGAGCATTTATCTTGTGCCAGGGAATTTTAAGGTCACAAGTATGAATAATGTAGCTTTAGCCATTTACAGTATATATATATACTCTAAGTCAATGTCGAAAATACCATGTTAAAGATAGTCAAGGAATGTATTAAAGAATCGAAGAGTGTACTCGTGTCAGCAGCAGAGGAGTGGGAATTTATAAAGAGCTGTCTATCAAAGATTTCATCTGAGGATCAAAGGATATGCTTAGGAATTATATAGGTGAAAAGGTCAGGAACAGGAGTAGAGGCGTTAGAGACAGGGAGTGAGACATACAACGTGATTATTGGAATATATGAAATAAGTAGTCCGGTAAAGAAGCTTAGTGCTGTATCATGAGAGCCACTTGGAGAATAAAAGAAGCTTGGTGTTCATCATAGAAATGGATGGTGAGGGAATATTGCCAGATTCTCAGTACATAAGTGGCATTGTCAGATACCCAAGTTCCTGCCTACCATTTGCTGGCTGTGCTGAGGAAGACAGAGGGCCTCCGAATGAGACACGACTGTGCTAGAACAGTCGAGAGTTGAGAGGGGTGCCAGTTATCGTACCTGGC